ACTTTCACATCACTTATCATTAATCCTCATTGTTCCTGTGAGATCATAACTTCTATAATGTTTGAATTTTACGTGAAGTTTGGGACTGGAAGCCAGGAGGCCAGGGTTTTGAACCCCACACTCTACCTCCTATTTGCGCAGGCTAAAGTTTAGTATACAAATTGCTATAGTAGTGAGAGCTATTAAACCTATTATTGAGTGAATTGCAGGTGTTTAGCAAATTTAGAAAACTAAATGTTTTTACTCACATAATATATTTATTTATTATATGTCATATAATGTGAAATAATTTAATACATTTTGAAAATTAAATAACTATATTCTAGAGAAATGAAATCAGTGCTTTCTGATGACTAATAACATTCTATAATTAAAATCAGTCCCCAGACTTATCAATCCCCAAATCATTATGCAAAAGGTAAAAGCTTGCTGTTTTTCACTTTTGGTTTGTCTTCCATGATTCCCTTGCAGTACTTTCATCATATGAATTATTGAAGAATAATATATATATGGCTTTCACAAAGCTTTTTTATCCACAGTGTGTTGGTTAGGTAACAGATCACCTGCTGCTGTAATAGATAATTCAACGATCTCAGTGGCTTAACCCAATGAAGACTTATTGCCTGCATGCTCTACTAGGTCATCCTAGGAACAGATTCTTTCAAACTAGTGGCTCTGCCACTCTGTTGGACAAGGGTCAGCAAATTGTTTCTGTAAAGAGCCAGATAGTCAATATTTTAGGCTTTGTGGGCCATATGGTCTCTGTTGCAACTACTCAACTCTGCCAATTGAGCACAAAAACAGCCATAGATAATATGGAAACAAATTAGCATGATTGTGTTTCAATAAAACTTTATTTGTAAACACTGAAATTTAAATTTGATATAATTTCATGTGTCATAAATTATTCATCTTTTGTTCATCTTTTGTTTTTTCAACTATTTTAATGTTCAACTTTTTTAATGTTCAACTATTTTTGTTCATCTTTTGTTTTTTCAACTATTTTAATGTAAAAGCATTCTTAGCTCCCAGGCAATACAGAAATAGGCAGTAGGCCAGACTTAGTCTTTAGGACTGCCTTCAGGGCTTTGGAATTATTCTCTGCATTTCCTATCTTCAGGTGATAATGAGGGATCTTGTGGGGAATTTTATTTTGCCAATTGTAGATAACATTTCCCCACCCCCAACCATTTTATTGACCAGAATTAGTCACAGGCCCCACCAGGATACAAGTGATGTGGAAAATACAGTCTCTAATGTGCCCAGGAGGAAAATGAAATGGTATGGGGAAGGAACAACAACATCCTTGTTATCAAATAAATTTTCTACATTTTCTATTCTTCTTGACTTTGCTTAAAACATTATTCCCTTTCCTTTTCCCTTCCCCAACCTTGATAGTTCAGTTTCCCCAATTTCACCTATTTCAAAATGATCTTTCTTCAAATATCTTTATGTTAAAGCTTTTATTGATTCATCCAAATAAATATAATCTCTTTCCTTTGAATCACCAAAGAAATGTAAATTTCTCTTGTCACTTTACCTTATATAAGGATGGATATTTGGGAACTTTTCTTTTTCTCACTACTAGATTAGAAGCTCCCTGAGGACTGATACTTTTCATATTTTTTAATGGTTTTATTCAGATGTAACTCATATACCATAAAATTCACTCTTGTAAACATTACAATTCAGTGTAAAATGGTGCAGCTGCTAATGGAATCATATAACTTGTGGGCTTTTTTTGTGTCCAACTTTAACTTAGCAGAATATTTTCAAGGTTCATCTACATTGTAGCACTATTAGTACTTCATTCCTTTTTATGGCTGAATAATATTTCACTGTATGGATACACCACATTTTGTTTATCCATTCATCAGCTGATGGACATTTGTATTGTTTCCACTTTTTAGCTATTTTGAATAATGCTGCTCTGAATATTTATGTACAAGTTTTGTGTGGACATGTGTATTTAATTCTCTTCGGGAC